ACTTTAATACCCCACTGACACCATTGGATAAATCCTCTAAACAAAAAATCAGCAAAGAAACAGCAATCCTAAAAGACTCACTAGATCAGATGGACTTAATTGACATCTTCAGAACATTTCATCCCAAAGCTGCAGAATATACATTCTTCCCCAGTGCATACAGGACATTTTCAAAGTTAGACCACATATTAGGACACAGGCAAAGTCTCTTCAAATTCAAGAGGATAGAAATCATAAAAAGCATCTTCTCAGATCACAAAGGCATAAAACTAGAAATCAACTAGAATAAAAACAATGAAAAAAATCAAACACTTGGAGGCTAAATAGCATGCTATTAAACAATGATTGGGTTACCAAAGAGATCAAAGAAGAAACAAAAAGCATCCTAGAAACAAATGACAATGAAAACACAACAATCCCAAACCCATGGGACACAATAAAAGCAGTCCTGAGAGGGAAGTTCATAGCTCTACAGGCCTACCTCAAAAAACAAGAAAAAATGGTAATAAATTATCTATCCTTCCAACTTAAAGAATTAGAAGGAGAAAAACCCACAGTAACCAAAAGAAAGGAGGTAATACAGATCAGAGCAGAAATAAATGACATAGAGACCAAAAAAACAATACAAAAGTTGAATGAAACCAAGAGCTGGTTCATTGAAAGGATAAACAAGATTGATGAATCTCCAGCCAGGCTCACTAAGAAGCAAAGAGAGAAAATGCAAATAAACAAAATCAGAAATGAAAGAGGTGAAGTATCAACTGACCCCACAGTTATACAAATGATTGTAAAAGAAATACTATAAACACCTCTACACAACAAACAGAACAAAAAAACTGGACCTCGATGAAATGGAAACCTTCCTAGAAAAATAAAAGCTTCCAAAACTCAATTAGGAAGAATCAAAAACCTGAATAGGCTGATTACTATTGAAGAAATTGAAACAGTAATCAAAATGCTTGCAGCAAACAAAAGACCTGGATGGGATGGCTTCACAGGGGCATTTTACAGAACATTCAAAGAAGACCTAAAACCAATCCTCCTCAGACTATTCCAAAAAATTCAAGAGGAAGGCACACTTCCTAGCTCTTTCTATGAAGCTAGCATTACCCTACTCCCAAAACCAGATAAAGACACCACAAAGAAAGAGAATTACAGGCCAATATCCCTGATGAACATAGATGCTAAAATCCTCAACAAAATTCTAGCAAACCAGATCCAGCATTACATTAGAAAGATCATCCACCATGACCAAGTAGGATTTATTTCAAGGATGCAAGGATGGTACAATATCCACAAATCAATAAACGTGATACATCACATAAACAAATTGAGAGACAAAAATCAAATAATCATATCGATTGATGCAGAAAGGCATTTGACAAAGTCCAACACCCTTTTCTGATAAAAATGCTCAGCAAAGTGGGAATAGAAGGATCATACCTGATATAATAAAAGCTTATATGACAAACCTACAGCCAACATCATACTCAACGGGCAAAAACTAAAAGCATTTCCATTAAGAACAGGAACAAGA